TCACATACCATGTTGCCATGATTCATAAGCCAGTAAATCAATACTTTCGTTAAAACTCATTTGAAACATATAAAACTGTCATGTAGTACATGTGGAACACACTAGATGATCAAAATATTTATCATATATTCTTCAGAGATACTGGGTAATCATACTTGAGCTGATAAGGAAGAAATAAAGATTTAGGACATATACAGTCGGCGTTGATTTATCGAATTATTGAAATAACTTAAGTTTAACAACTCCCAAAACTAATGCATGTTGACTGGTCCATTCGTTGTCCTACCAGGTATTCACTCTTTAATAAAAAAATGGTTGTCCCTTGTTCCCATACGTAATGGGGTAAGGGGAAGGTAAGATAGTAGGTTGCCCCCAACACCAGGTTGAGAGCAGCTTCCGTAGAAGACCTCCGAATTATGAAATGCCCTCCGTGGGACTTGATCCCATGACCTCAAGGTTAAGAACCTTGTGCTATACCATCTGAGCTGGATAGTCATCACTAAACATATTATTGTCCATAAATCAACTTTTGAGTCATCATTAAACATATCTTAAGGAGACGAACAAATATTCTAATGGTCTTTATTTTATTTTCAAGCTTCCACGATACCATGAAATACTGATGTACTTGATTTGTGGTTCATGATCCATAGGGATGATACATTATGTAAGTTCATCCGAATTTCCAGGCTTATCCTAGTCGCTTACTTAATCCTCAGTCATTGAGGTTACTTAGTTCATTTAGCATTCAAGTCCATTCCAGTTACTTCGGGATTTTCCAGAGTAATTCAAACGTTCCTGAATTTCATATACGTATTGTACTTCTATTCTATTCAATTTGGTATTCGTGGTTGATTTGTCGAATAAACGTCCAATTCTTAGTACTGAATGCGATCTAGAGTTGAGTTGAACTGAATACTTCCAAAATTATCATCAAGCCACACTTGAGAAGACGAACACACATTCAAGTAATATCTATGTCGTCCAGGTACTGACGTATCATTACGATTGATCAACTCACTTAAGTTGTGTTCCATAACTTTTAAAGGTAATCCAACACTTATGCTTATTTGGATTCCTTAATTAATCCAAGACATTTACTTAGTATAGGCCATAAGGGTATTTTGGTCATGTTGGTGTTCAGTTTTATTCTATTCATTTCAGAGCTCGAGGATATCCACTCATTCCTGAGCTTGGTGATATTCTTGGTCATTTCCATACCAGGGGTATTTTGGTCATTTCACAGATCCATTGTATTACAATCATTTCCTTCTATCCGATCTTATTATTAAATTCAAACTTATCATTTACTTCAGTCTTTTTAAACAATTCTGACAAAAGAGCACCATTGATAAATCATTATTCAGGTATTTACTTATAACTCAGATATTTCAGGTCAAGTGCCTTCTCAGATTTTACAAACGGAATATCTGGAATTTTCCTGCACTAAATCAGGATCTTAACAATCAAATCCGTACTTAATCGAGTTAAGTACGAATTCTCAAAGTATTTTCTCATTCAAGGTCAACTCGGACTATTTTACCTCTCAAAAGCATTTTTTTGTAATTTCTTAACCAGATAATTTCGGTATTAGCTCTTAACGAAAATAATTATAATTTAAAGATCATATGGTCAATTGTTTTCCAGAACATTCTCTGATCTTGAAATTATTCCTTCACAAACTTCTAGCAACTTGCGCAAACCCTTTTTGGCGTTAAAAACCAGTTATCCAAATTTTCTAAACAAAACCATTATTTCTTATGCACATCTGTAATTATATCGAATCAATATGTCTTTTCAAAGTTATTAACCAACTTTCAGAAACAATTCTTGTCATCCTACAACATAAGGGTATTTTCGTAATTTTACCCTACCGGAGTATTCTCATAAATTCCCATCCAAGTGCCTTTAACATATGACATTTGATGAAATAAATTATAAGATACAGATCCAGATTGATTTCTTTATTACCATACACATAACTTGAAATTTAGTTCTAACAATTCCTTAATTCCTAATAAAAGTCCTCTGAACCATAACTAGTTACCAAATTTCTACTGTATTCGGATCGAGTGTAGAAATTAATTAACTACACAATTGAGACCAACATTATCTTATTCATGCATTTACCAATATTCACATGTTTCATAAAGCATAAAGATGTAGTAAAATATTACCTCAATTTTCGTGCCATATTGATAGACCATTAAATTCCATTTGAACGTCCTCGATCTTGAAATCGTCTTCCAATATTTCCTCGGATCCATATCAACAGAAATTACATAAAAACGGAGCTTAATTCTGAAAAGCGGATCGAATCGGATGATAAATCAGTGAAAATCAGCTTACCGGGTTCGAATTTGGCAAAACAGACTTCGGATTCGGATTCAAGACGTCGAAAGCATAAAATATGACTTTTCGAAAATTTAGAATTTTTGGTCAAAATCAAAGTCAACGGGTTTGACTGGAAATTTCGAGGCCTTCGGACTCGAATTTCAAAAAACGAACTACGAAATCGGATTTGGAACGTCGAAAAATGTCATGATAGGTATACTTGGTCAAAGTCAAAGGTCATTTAATACCCGGTCAAAGCAGATCAAAGTTTTTGTCAACAGTGGTCAACGGTTAACAGGTCGGGTCAACGGGTCGGGTCGGGTTGGAACCGGTCAAATCGGTTCAAAACCAGTCAAACCGGTCATTTGGACTATCCCCATGCGCAGTGGCGGTGCATGGGACCTCCTCCGGTGTCCTATAAATCACGTAAAAAAATTTAAAAATTATTTTGAGCGATTTCGAGATACTTACAAAACTCGGTTCAAATTTTTGAACGAAGGAGAGCTCGATTTCAACAAATCGGAAACTTTGATCGTTTCACCTCCTCACGCGCTGCCGCCGACGGAGACCAAGGTTGACACCGGCAGACTCGGAACAACACAAGGAACACGATAGTGCATGAGGTGTCGTAAACGGATGTCCGGATCGTTGTGAATCGACGAAAAACCAATTGAAATCGAGTTATTACCGACGATACTTCCGACTGAAATTAACGACGAACAGCGACGATTCACGACAAAAGGTTTGAGGGGTTTTGTTCCTCAGTTGACAACGAACACGATGGTGGTTTCGGTTCGTCGATCAGAGGTCGGATGACGAGTAAATCGGAGTTGAAAGGAGGGTTGTTGGAGAGGAAAAACTGAATTTTTTTTCCAACATACGAGAATGAGGATTTATAATTTAGCTCATAATATAAATAGTTAAACCATGAGTTTAGTCACTATACTTTATGCACTTTATAAAACAATCTACCAATTTTGAAATCTTACAATTTAATCCATCGTTTCTTCCTAAAATACCAATTAAATCCAATACTTTATAATTTCTTAATTTTAGCCCCAAAATTGGGGTGTTACACCAATCGAGTCCATACAGTGCTTCGGCCGCAAGAAGACAGCGGTGGCCGTAACCTACTGCAAGCGAGGCCGTGGCCTCATCAAGATTAACGGTTGTCCTATCGAGCTTGTTGAGCACGAGATCCTCCGTTTCAAGGCCGTCGAGCCAATCCTCCTCCTCGGCCGCCAACGTTTCGCCGGAGTCGACATGAGGATCCGTGTCAAGGGCAGAGGTCACACATCTCAAATCTACGCCATCCGTCAAAGCATTGCTAAAGCCCTCGTCGCTTTTTACCAAAAATACGTCGACGAGCAAAGCAAGAAGGAGATTAAGGATATCTTGGTCAGGTACGATAGGACTTTGCTGGTGGCTGATCCCAGAAGGTGCGAGCCTAAGAAGTTCGGTGGAAGAGGTGCTAGGGCAAGGTTCCAGAAGAGTTACCGTTGAAGAATATTTCTGGTTTGTTTGCGAAGCTTAGTTGTATTGTGTTTCATGTGATACTGTGATTATCTCCATTTTGAGTTAATTTTGCTATGTTTGTTGGTTAAAATTAGCCATGACTGGATTTCAGAATTTAATTGTTCGTGTTGCTTATAATTTCAATTTAGTCCCATACCTCGTTTTACTTCAGTCTTTCATTTGGTATATGCCTTCTGCTTTCATGTTTTGTTGAAGAACATTTCTCTTGTTTATATGTTATCATTGTTGCATAGTTGCGATAGATGTTGTTTTTATGGGGATATGGAGTCTTGTGTATATGAATTTGTTGTTTTTTTAACCAATCCTTTTCAATTTAATGTTATTTTGTGAAGCTTATGTTATTATTGGGATATGATGGGATTGAAACTTATGGAGTGAAATACGATTTGCAGGAGGCCAAAACATCTCTAAAAAACAACTATAGTGACATACATTCTACTGCAAGTTCGATAACCGAAACGATTTGACACCAAGGCTTTTCCTAGTCATGGTTGGCCATTGTTGCGTCCAATCTTAGAGCCTGGTTAGGACGAATGACCGAGTTAACAATTTTATTTTATGATTCAAATTTGATTTGATTTGATTTTTTTTGAGATAAATTTTTAAAATTTGAGTTATGGTTAAATTTTTAAATTTCTATTTAAATTTAAGGGTAAAGTATATAAATAGTCTTCAAATTTTTAGAGTGCTTGTATTTTGCTTATCTAACTTTTAAAACTTACAATATAGTCATTGAATTTTTAGTTCGTTTACACCAAAGTCCTTCACGTTACCCTCGTTTGTAACTTTGAAGACTTGCAATATAGTCTTTTATTTTCGGTCTGATTGACTTTGGTAGTCACTTTAAAAATTAAGTACTTTGGTCCCTTAAAATTTGAAAATAATGTGAGTTTAAGTTGACAATTTAAAAATAAAAAATTCCACATGTCTTATTAAAAAAAATAAAAAAGACCTACCTCTCTTCTTGTTCTTCTTTTAACCGTTTAAATATATTTATTGTTTTATTCTCCTATATGTAGTAATGATAATAATATTGATCAAATTAAATTTAAATTGACTAAGATTTTGAATTGGTAGATATCCATGCTTGAAATTGCCAAATTACTAGTTAAAACCACATTAATATGGTACTCTACTAATTATTCGCCGTCAATTATGATTTTTTTTTTAAAAATACACAATTATAAATTGCCAAATTAGAAGTTAAAACAGACAGAACGAAAGGCAAACTTGGGAGAGAGAGGGAGGGGGGGAAGAGACGGTGGTGACGATGACGGTGGTTCATTTGATGCGACGGCAAAGGGTGATTCCATCACCAACAGGAATTATGCAAATCTCGATCCTGGGGTCGACAGCAAGAGCCTTGTTAAGTTCCAAAACGAAGTCTCTGTAATACCTAACATACTTCCTGAGAGGAGCATCAGGTGGCGCCACCACCGAGCCGTTCCATAGGGTGTTGTCGTAGCCAATCAAACCACCAACTTTCACCAGCTCAATCAGCCTCTTGTGGTAGTTTATGTAGTTGTCCTTATCAGCATCCACAAAGATGAAGTCAAAGGATCCATGGTTCTTTTCCTGTCATTACAGACAGAATCAGTCAACCGACAGTTTCTCAAACAAGAAGAAAAAAAGGATGCGTGGGGCTGGTAAAGTTTACATCTTGGACTAATTCATCAAGAACCGGCATTGCAGGTCCTTCTTTGAAATCAATTTTGTGTGCAACACCAGCTTTTTGGATAACAGGCAGACCCAGCTCGTAGTTTTCTCTGTTAATATCCATGGCCAAGATCTTAAACAAACAAAAACTGGGTGATATTTCTCGTGTTTTTAAAGGATAAATCCAATCATTAGCTAAAAAAACTATATTTCCATCATCAGGGGAAACAAGGGCCGTAGCTAAGAGAGAGTAGCCGGTGTAAACACCGATCTCCATGGTGTTCTTGGCATTGATCAACATTAAGAATCATGTTCAAGAACTGACCTTCATCAGCTGATGTTGTCATGATGTTCCTGTTTTCAACCATTATTTGAAAGGAAAAAGATATCAACAAAGAGTTGTATACATAGATCTACACATGTTTTTATATTATGAATGAACTTATAACTATTAAATTATGAATGAATTTATAAAATCTTAGTAGTAAAAGTAGATTATCAATAAAAAAAATTAAAATACATAATAATTTAAAACTTTCAGAGACATCAGTTCTTTTCTTGATCCATCTCTGACTATATAAATGAGTGATATAATATGAAAAATCAGAGTGAAGAAACAAATAACCATGAATGCTTGGCGGTTATCTCTCTAAGCTCCTTCATAGGTTCAAGCTCTCTAGGATACACACTAGTCTCCAGGATATACTGTAATAAAACCAAAACCCCATTAATGAAGTCAAAATTAAGGCCAAAACATATTTTAAAAATGGAAAGATTTAGAATCCCGAGTAACATTAGTAGTAGAAAGAAGAATTGTGGTTTGAGATTGCTGCTGCTCTTCTGGTTTGGTTTCCATTGCCACAATTCTTCAAAGCTTCTTCGGTTGCATACCTTTGATCTGAATATGGAAAATGGAAGGGGCTTATATGGAAGTTGAAACCCCCGGTTGGACCGCCAATTTGGGATTTACCAAGTGGGGCGGGGGAGTTGGTGAAGTCACAAATTCTGCAACGGGACCAGCGTTGCACTCATGGTGTGACATGTTTTAAAAGTCATATGAGTTGATGATGAGGTCCATCCATTGAGTTGTGATATCACTTTCTTTCTTAAGCTTTACAATAGTATATTGATAACCGAAGGCAAGTGAGCCTAATTTTAATGGACATTGTTTGTTCCTATGAGATTAAGAAAAATTATGCCAAAGTTGGCATCTGGATAGTAATGGTGGGATGCACTGACCGTGTTTTGGTTTATGCATTATGTTAGGCAAGTATAGAATTGGTGAGAGGTTGGTGAATGTATTGTACAAAATTAGATAATATATAATTCACAATATAATAATATATTTTTTAATATATACTTAATATTAGATTTAAATTACCATTTAATGTCTAGCCTAATAGTTAAATTGATAAAATAATATGATTGATCTGATAATTTATACTTTGTTAATCCAATTATAATTTTTAAAGTTTAAGTCTGCATTTGCAAACGAAGAATGTGTGCAGGGACAAATCTATACAGAGACCCCTCCCAAAATTTTTGGTTTAATAGTATTTTAGGTCCTTATCAATTTAAATTTAAGTAAAAACAGAATTTCCCCCTCCAAATTTTTAGAATAAATACATAATAAATCCTTATTATTTTGAACTTAGGTACTTTGCCCCTCCCAATACTTGATCTTAGAAAGAAAATAAAAACATGGCAAAAAAAACTATGGGCAATGTAAAATGATGTTGGGTATTGGCAATAGGCGCAACCCAAACCCACACTTGATTTTGTAAAGCTTTTCATTGGTTCCCCAACAACACCAATGTATTGGCCCAATATCTTCTTCACAAAATTAGAAAGCCCTGATGCCTTTTTATCTCAATTTTTTTTAAAAAAAATTATAAGCATTAAATTTGTTTTGTTCGTTTTGTAATATAATTAAAATAAAACAAAATAGATATATAATTTAAATATATTTTTTATATGAATGACCACTATTATAAATAGAGTCATTAGGGGAAAAAACATCAACTTCATATCACATTCACATTCTCTCTCTTTTTTCTTAGATTTTTTTTTACTAAACTCCTTCTAATCAAAGACACTTCAAAGTTTTTAATTTGAAGATTCGTGAGGTTTTTTTATCTTCTTTTTTTATTTTTCAAGTATTTTTATATATAGTAGTTTATTTATTAATTATTGATTTGTGAGTTGTATGAACAATTTATTAAATATTTATATTGTTAATTTAAATGTTTTCATGTGTAATTATAAATAAGTTTTTTTTGGTATAATCACAGTATATGATCTATTGATCGACTACTTTAGATCGAGTATTACAGAGGCAAAGACGACCTTAACTCAATTTGCTCAATTTGTAAACACCATGATTCAAATATATGACATTGTTTAAATGATTTAGTGTCTTATCATACTATATTGACTGGTTGTTGATAATTATAAATAAGTTTTAATACAAATAGTAAAATAAGTTAGGTACAAGTTAAAAAGATATAAAATATAGTTTGTATCGTTCACATTGGTGCGAATTGATTAACTAGTACTTGAGTCTTTTTAATTTTAAGATATAAATTATATAATAGATTAAATCTTATTAATTATTTAAATGTTTTTTTATTAGCAGTAAATTAAGAGAAAAATTAAGCTATCAGAACGTCTGGATTAAGTAATAAGAAGGATGAGAACAAAAGTGAAAATTGGAGCATGGTGATGCATGAGAGCTACGTGGACTACAAAACGCCTTTGCCCTCAGACCTAATCATCACTCTCTGCCTTAAAATTTAGACAAAAACCTTTTTATTTATTTACAAAATAAAATAAAAAAACCAATGTTGCAGACCCAACACATGTTCTCTTCCTGTCTCCCTCGGATCATCTCATCCATTTTTTCAGTGATTTGGCTCTCCCCTATTTTCATCATCATCATCGTAAATAAATTAAATCCTTTGAACACAGACCAAAATAACAAGGAGAAGGAGAGCATGAGAAACTCCCCCCAAAAAAATCATAAAAAAAGAGAAAGAAACCCGTGTGACTCCTCTCCTTAAAATTTATTTCTATTAATGCCCTTGTGTAATCCCCTACACCCGATCTCTATTCTCTTTTTTCCTTTTATGATTTACGTTTCATCGTCGCAGCTTTCTTTTTCAGGTATTCTCTTAATCCAGGTGATTTTCTCCCCATAGATGATATATAGTATTTTTAATGATCGAAAATAGTTTGCTTTTCAAGATCCTTTATCCTTACCCTTCATGGGAATCCTTAGTTTTTTTGCTAATTTTATTGTTATTGACTTTTATTTTGATATTATAGGAGGGATCGAGGTCGACCCATGTTGGGTTGTTTGTTCATTGCCTTTCAATTTTAATTGGGTGTTTATCTACAAGCATTTGTGATTTTAATTTTATTTTTAAAATTTAAAACCCGTCAAATATTTAGATAAAAAAAGGCATTCATCAATTTAATCATCTGATTTTTTTTAACTAAATGGGGGAAGAAAAGGGATTGGTTTTTCTTGTTCCCTCACGTTTTTGTCAAAAGACCAAAGATTTACTAGTACAGAAGCGAGTTACATTATTTCTAAAAAGACCTTGATTTGGATTCCTTCCATTTTCTTGGATGGATTTGTCAATGTGATAAAATTTGTAATTTTTACCCCCTTTTCTTGATGCAGATGATCAATTTTGCATTCTTGCTGATTCTGTAAACAATTTTGTTGATTTTGTAATTCGAGGCTTCACGAAGCGAGTCTCTGATTAGTTCTCATATTTCAGCATTTTTATTCCTTTTGATCTGCTGATATCGCCTCAAAGTATTCCGTATAAAAGCCGGAAATTTGAACTCTTCCTGTTCGTGAGTGGAAGGTTAGTGTTAATAACAATGCCGTTCTATCCTATGTTACTTTTTCAGTGTTCATCCGTCGTTTCTCTATTCCTCTGCTAGCTAGCAGCTAGTTGTGGATGTCAATGCATGGAGATTTTGACGTAATTGTATTTCAGTTGTAGGTTAGTATCAATTGCATGCCTTGATTTGTTTCCACTTGATCGTGGTGCTGTGAATTTGACTCCTTGATCTACGCTTAATGTGAATGAGTAGTTATAAAGCTGTGGTTTTGCACTTGATTGAGAGGTTGAGAATATAGTGACAATTGCCTTGATTTTCCACTTGGCTTAGTGGCATCATTCTTATGTTGTGTGGCATGAGAGCTGGGGGTTCAATCCCAAGCATACCTTCCTGCAGTCCCCAATTATCGATTGTACCAAAAAAATGGTGTTCCTGTATACTGTTGAACATAAAATTTGAGTTGGTCAGTTCTGGAAACTTTGTTTCACACATGCTCAGGTGCACTTTCACGTGTGCAGGTCTAACTTTGAGTTTTCTTGGTTCATATGATCTCTAATTGACCTGGCATTTTAGAACTAAAACTTTGTTTCACACATGCCCAGGTTCACATGCTCAGGTCCCTTTTCTTGCTTAGTTTTGATCTACTTGAACTATTAGGATTTCATGTTGTATGCCATGTAACATAAAGTCGTTCTTGCCTGCACTTCCTCTCAAAAATCAATACCTGTTGTCACTGAGGTAGGTATTTCTTTTGTGTTCAATTATTGGTTGGGGCTGTTGCTTGTGGACATATGTAACCCAGTAAAGCTAAATAAATCAGGAACTTCAGAACTTATTTTGTAAGCTAAGGTTGCAACATATTTTTTCATTATTACTTCATTTTCTTCATGCATTGGAAGACCCCTCTCCCTCCTCTTTCTCCCCTTTTTTATAACTGAAATGTGAATATGGATATTGTGCTTATCTTTTCAGATTTCAACTACCAGTCTGAGTTTGTGGTCCCTTTAATATTTTGACCTGAGAAATGGGAGCTTGAGTGGACATTTGTTTTGAAATTTGGAATAATATTTGGCTTCTCTGAGATATTTGGAATATATCTTCCCTGATGCAAGGTCAGGGGGGCACCGTTGACTCCTTTCCTGAAACTGTTAACATTGATGAGGGGTCTAGTCCCAATGACACGAGTATTGGTCAACCAAATTCTTTGCATAACATGCTGAATCCTGTGGAAAATCGGTTATCCAATTATGCATTGTCTTCCGGTGGGACAATGCATGGAAACACTACTACTCCCAACGTTCAGAGCTTTAGTGGCTGGAGTTCTGGTGAACCAAGCTCTAGATTGAGAATGCAAAACCAGGTGATGCAGGATGTTCTAAATCACCAGCTTAATGATGATGGAACAAAAATAGAGTGTAGTTGGCCTTCTTATGGTGCTCATTTTGTGGCTGCTCCAAGGTCAGAAGAAAGGCGGATTGAACCAGAAAATGTCATTTTTCCTGGGAGACTGCATAATGGTAGAAGTGGCAATCAGGTCCGGAGTGGGCCCATATTTTTGCAAGGTTCAAGCTCTAATCATAGCCAACAAAATGTGAATCTAAATGAAGGGTTTATTAGCAGAAGTGGTAATGGAAGGCCAGGCATTGGAACTGGTATAAGTCTCAATGTCCATAACTCTCATGGACTAGAAAGAGAACTGATATCTAATGCCAGTGTTTCTTCTGATAATGTTGGTAGTTCATCTGGAAGCTCTAATCATTTGGGGGAGGAAAATATTGATGGTTCTGGCTCTTCTTTGGGCAGTTGGGGTTTATCCTGCAAGAGGAAGGTCCTTGAAGGTACTTCTGCACAGTCTTATTCTGCTGGTGCTTCAAGTTGTTTTCAACAAATGGAAAATGCTGCCTGGCATGCTGGCCCCTCTCATAACGATGCTTCTAGCAGCTTGAGTTTATCAACACCCTCTTGGAATTTCCTTAATGTTGGTCCCCCTGATCAGCCGAATCCAAGAGTTGGGCTTGGTATGAGAGGAGCAATTAGTGATGCATTTACTTCTAGTGTAAGAAGAGCAAATACAGGAAACCAACAAGAATCTTTACCGTATAGTTTATCATCAACTGGGGTTGCTGGGCATTCTAGTTTTGGCTCTCCTGGTCATCCTAGAACTGCCTCATTTGGTGACTCTTTAGACTTGAGATCCACCGGGGCAATAGCTGGAAATTCTAGTTCTGTGCCAACTCAACCTCATATGAGGATTACTACTGTTGTGCCAAGAAATGTGAATCCTTTCCCTTGGAACAGCACTTCCAGTTTAAGAGCTGCCAACCCATCAAACTCTACTAATTTTGGAGAGAGAGCTGCTGCATTACAGGATGAACCAAACATAAGAAATATCCCAAGAAACAATCCAGAGCATGCCATGTTTGTACCAGCAACCGATATGAGAAATGTAGCGCAAGAGTCAACAGGTTGGAATTTGACTTCTGGAGGAGGTCTGCCATCTTCTAGTCGACCTGGGCCTAGTTCAAGCACCCATCCTTTGCCCATTCATGCCTGGATTCCTCCTCACAACCCACCATTGCATAATCAACAAAGGCTACCAGAATTTGCTCCATGGTCTTTATTTCCTCCAATTGATTCTGAACCTGGTGGTTGTGGTGGCCATTTTCCATCATTGTCTTCAGGCCCGTCTGCTTCCTCACGAGAGTCGGTGGTGCCATCTGGATCAAACATTCAAGGTAACAATCAACCATATCCAAGGTCAGCATTCATATTGGAGAGACAAGATGATGATGTCCTGGGGATGCCCCAATCATTGCGAGCTTTGGCTGCTGACATCGAAGGGAGACACCGGCTAATATCTGAGGTTTGTTTCTGAAGGTCTATTTGCTGTTTTTTAACTTCATTGTCTCTGTACATTTATGTCTAAGGCTTCCTAAATAGGGTTTGTTTTCATCTAATAGTAACAAATTTGGCTTTCCAGATAATGGCGATTAGTAGCATTCTCAAATTACCTAGTTACCCAATCTTGTGATGTGCAGTTAAAGTTAGTAACTAGTATTGTGTTTATATCCATTTAAATTTACAGCCCTGCATGTATGCATGCATACCTATGTTTTATATACTTGTACAGATAAACATAAAACCATAAATAGATTCTAAGAAGATTTGATTTCTAAATTGCTATTAGCATTGTTGATTTGTTTTTGGCATTTCATATTTGATGTCTTCACAAATTCGTTTTGGGTAGGACATTTGTAAGTACATTTATTTATCCATGAATGTTATATTGAAGTATCAAGAAAAAAAACCAGTTTTGTAGATTCTTTTCTATCTATTTTTCATTTTTTATGTTCTCCCTGATTATCAGTTTGTAGGTGTTCCTTGAAAAAATTTAGAGAAAAAAGGAATTAATGGAAACAGGAAAGAAAAAAGACAAACTGTAGTAAATCAGGCTCAAGTGAGTGTTTCTGCAAGCTATTTGGATCATCTATAGCAATCGTTTCTTCCTTTTTAAGCTTTTCTAAGCTGTATACTCTTGATACCTGCTGATGTTCATCTTTCGTATTTAATCTGTATCAACTTTTTGCCATTAGTGCTTTCCGCCCCTCACATACGAATTTTTATCAATTTACCACTTCTTTTGTACTGGACTGTTATGTTTTCTCACCTTAATATGTAATTAAGATATGAGATCTTGAGCAATCTCAACCTAGATATAAAGTTAATTTATCGCATTTCAGAAAATATTGTCTACTGCATCAAAAGAAAATATTGTCTATTACAGAAGCTGACCAATTAAATTTTGAGATGAAAGATACGCACATTCCACTCCCCCCCCCCCTTTTGTATTGGCAATTGAACATAAGAAAATATTCTTATTCGTTGCTGCTCATCTTCTTCTCCATGTCTCAGATACGCCAAGTCTTGAGTGCCATGCGTAGAGGAGAGAACTTACGAATTGAGGTTTGGTTTTTGATTTGTTCAATGTTTATGAGTAGAGTATTTTTTTTTTCTTCGGCTACATCGACTATAATTGATTTAGCTGGTTAAGTTTTAAAAGATTCGTTTCCTTTTCTTTTTGCCTATTATCTTACAGAACAGTTTCAAGGTTTCACCAATAGGTGATGTGGTTTCTGCGAAATCCATTTATTGAATTTCCCTCGTACCTCATTTTCACTAAAATACAACTAAACTGCCATAAGAGCATTTCAACAAGTTATGATTTTTATGAAAATGAATGTATTTCTTAGGACAGGATTGAAAACTTAGTAGCTTCAAGCATTTATATGCATTGGTGCAAATGTTTCTCTGTAGCAGTTGGAGACGTGTTGGTGCTAATGTGCAGAAACAATATTCTCATTCTTTATTGGCCTCTAGTTTCTAGTTGGGTTGATGCAGTATTCTAGTGTAGGTTCTCATTGTCGATTACTAGCTTAGCCTTGAATTATCTATCAGAGATGGTTTTCAAAAGTATATTATTGGATAATTTGGCGCACGGAAAGTTTGTTCTGCAGATCAATACCTAGATTGCTTCATTTCTAGTTACTTCCTAAACAGGTTTCCACAAATTGAGAGATAAAGAGCTCTATTAGTCTAGCGCGCGTAGAAGGCTTAGAAAGTGCTCTGTTGTCTGAAAATAATTTATTTATATCTTTATGTGATACCGATTCAGGATTACATGGTGTTTGATCCGTTCATATATCATGGTATGGCCGAAACACATGACAGACATAGAGACATGCGACTTGATGTTGATAACATGTCGTATGAGGTAAAAGGGGATCGCTGCCTATTTGTTTGTTTTTTGTTCAATCACTTCACATTGGAGGTTATTCTTCTCATATTGCAAATGGAACACTAGGAATTGTTGGCATTGGAAGAACAGATCGGAGATGTTAGCACCGGGCTGAATGAGGAAACCATTCTGAAGTTGATGAAACAGAAAAAGTGTTCATCAACCACAACAGAATCCACCCAAGAATTGGAACCATGTTGTATCTGTCAGGTACGATAGTAGACGACAGTAGATATTCCTTCCATCTTACCTGTTTGTTCAAAGTCTTGTTTACCTTCTCCAAACTTCAACAATGGCAGGAAGAATACGCAGATGGGGACGATACCGGGATACTAGATTGTGGACATGACTTCCACACAGACTGCATCAAACAATGGTTAATGCTCAAAAACCTGTGCCCCATTTGTAAGACAACAGGCTTGCTCAAGTGAGATCATGTTGTCGGACCCAATAATAGGGTTATTATCTAATTCGAACCGGCTTTGCTTACCCTTGAACTGCAACTTTCAAGGCGACAGAGCAGCTGTTAATGTTATGAATTGCAGGATGAGTTTGTTCAATAACTTGCATAAAGCATGATGACAATGATGAACATACCTGAAATAATATGGTATTTTATTGGTATTAGTGCATATATCATCATCAACATAACTCCATCTTTTTTTTTTATTCTTTTGCATGCATAGATTTTAGCAGCCTTTTTATCTGTAGCGTGGACAAGACATTTCTCACACATGATAATCATGTCTAAATTTTGTAATTTCGGTACTAAGATGACCTAATATTACTAAAATTTACTTGCAATATTACCATATACATAATTAAAAGCTCACAAAATAATCTTTTTCAACCATGAAATGGTTTAAACATTTTTTGGGGGTGGGGTGGGGGATAAATAACTTGTTTTGCTTGTTCAAGTATGCATGTATAGATAGAATGAATCAACTTGTAAAGGAGATACATAATTAAAGTGGTAGAATGCATGCATGGTATAACATTAATTAAAAAAGACAAAAATGGGTAATTGCTTTTGATAATTCATTAGAATTTAGATATGTCCTTGGTGTGATTATGCTTAAGATTAGTAAATCATTTATTATTCGAGTTTATAGGTATCCATCTCAACAATAATATTTTAAAATTCGAATTTATATTTTTTTATAATAAAAAAAAACCAAAGTGGGGTCATGATGAATTGTGGGACTATATAAAAAAAATCTTTGCTAGAACGCGGTTTAGAGTATATATAATTATAAATCCGATATATACACACATACGTTTTTGTTTTGATTCAGAGTAACGGCATTGCCTTATGATTGTATTTTGGGCTCTTCTCTTCCCTCTTCAAAGACAATCCCCCCCTCTCTCCCTTTTTTCACCTTTAGTTTGCCACCTTTTAAACGTCTCCTCTCCTCTCTTCCTTTACCTGCATATCTTTCCTCTTCTTTTCTACCTATCTCAGTAATCCAGCAATGTCTGAAGATGGCGACCATGGCAGTTTCTTACTATGGGATAACCAGCCATGGACAGTTGCTTTATCCAACTCTGATAATAACAATTCTCCAGCTGGTACTGGGAGTGGAGAAAAATCTGCAGGCAAAAGCAACGACCAACAAAAACAACAACCTTTGCAAGACTCGACCAATACGAAGAACAATAAGAGAGGGGCTGAATCGGATCATGAGATGCATATATGGACCGAAAGAGAGAGGAGGAAGAAGATGAGGAACATGTTCTCTGGCCTTCATGACTTGCTTCCTCAGCTACCTCCTAAGGTAAACCGAAAAATAACTTTACAGATTAATTGTTTTTCCTTTTACGTGAGAAGGTTAAAAAGTTGAAAGAAAGTTAACGTAGGTTTCAGTTATGGAAAGTATACCTACATTGCTTCGTCCATTTGTTTATGGCTTAGTTGTCATAATCTGCATATTATCATTTTCCAAATCACAGTTTCTGTTGACGGACCAATTATATAATCGCTGTAATTCATAACCACTTATCTCAGTATTTGCATGATTGTAATCACGGCAGTTGATGAACAGACTGAGTCATTTCTTACAGGCTGACAAATCCACCATAGTTGATGAAGCTGTGACCTACATCAAAACCCTAGAGAAAACTCTCCAAAAGCTACAAAAACAAAAGCTAGAGAGACTCCAAGGTTGCATTGATCTTGGTCGTCATCATGAGCAGTCTCCGACGGCGACCACCGCCGCCCGAAACCATCAAGAAGCTCTTGATTCGAGCAGCAGGGAAGCATTCATGGCGGATCAAGTATCTTGCACTAATGCAACCAATAAGGTTCCGAATTCTCCTTTTCAGTTTCAAACATGGAGTTCTCCAAACGTTGTGTTGAACATATCCGGTAAAGAAGCACAAATAAGCGTGTGTTCACAGAAGAAGCCCGAGCTCTTCACCACCGTTTGCTACATTTTGGAAAAGCACAAAGTAGAGGTGGTGTCTGCTCATGTTTCATCGGATTCTGATCGGTGCATGTTCATGATTCAAGCTCGTGTAAGTTTTACAGTAACTTTTTTTTAATCTCTGCATCAAACTAGTCGCTGCTTTATGCATGTCATTAATTTATTTAATTACATGTTTTCCTTGCCTGCATGCACAGTTAGGGTAGAAGAATGTAATCCAAGCAACAATTCCGTCATAGTTTTAGACATTCTTATTCTTGGTGGTGGGGATGAGTATAGAACATGCTAATGTAAGGTTAAAAGAATCGCAGAAATTGGTTGTAACTGAAAAATTTATCAAGAGTACTTTAGCTTTCTAAAGTAATATGAGTAACATTTTAGGTTGAAAACGAAAATATTATGTTTTTCTAACAAATCATGTAAATTATATAACTATTTCGATTGTAACATAAAAAATTAGCGTCAAGACTTTCTCGGTTATAACCAAAATTATTATAAATTTGTAATTTTTTAGAGTAGACAAATAACATTGTAGGTTAAAATCAGTCGTAATGTATCCTTCTTAGTTGTAACCGAAATTATTATCAATTGTATAACTTTTTAAGTTGGGACAAAATAACATTTTAGATTAAGACTCACCTCAAATTAAACAGCCGCACAACAAAACTATCCTTTGGGGGTGAGAATCTCAGATTTAGAATTAAGAAATGTTGGCAGATAGTTTGAATTCGAAACTAGATTTATTAGATGTCATATTTTTTTTAATGATTAATACAGATAAATGAAAGTGGATTAAGTTAGTTTGATCAAATCAAATAAGATAATGGAGTCGGTATAATAAATTAAATCCATAAATTATCAATTAATAAAATGCATAACCTCTCTGAGCTTCATAAACTTATAATAAACTGTATAATAAGCAGGTGGCAAGCACAAGAGCTTCTAATCATCTGCAGACAGAGGCATTTCAAGTCGGCGAAATATTCAAACAAGCTGCAGCTGAGATCATGCGCTGGGTTACTTCATCATAAAGCATGCATGCATACATACATACATACATGTGTAATTTCTTCTTTTCATAGAAGCTATGTGCATGAGAGTTTGTTCCATGTCTCCCACCATATATATTCCATAGTTGAAAGCATGTTATACAGCCATTTTTACTTCCAGAATTTACTGTTTGAAATACTATATGTTTATTAAGATACATAAACACATATTTTTGATGCATTATAAAATATCTGAAGAATAATTACGTATAATTAAATTTAAATCAAAATAAAATCTAGAAATAACCTACCGATAGTTTACGCAAAATGGAAATCCAACCTAAATCTAAACCTTTGACAACTCTGTCAAGAAAGAGCTTAATGCATGTTTTAACCTCTAAATTATGTCATGTTTCTTATAATTAACGCTAGTTTTCATTACTACCAGCATTAAAATATAGTTGACATATAAAATCAATTAGAACATCATACGTGGTACTATATAGTAAAATTGAACATATACATAATTCAAAATTTTTTTAAAAAGAACTTAAATATTTTAAAAATATTGTTGACTTTGGCCACCACTAATCAGTAGTTGACCAGCACTGACCAATGTTGATCAATCATGTATTGTTAAATTTTAATTTGTTAATTTTTAAAAGTTGTGTATGTATTTAGAACTTTGGAGCTATTTAAAAGAAATTTAGAGTTTTGTGGAAAAATATTTGTTTGAATTGTGAAAAATCCCTTCCAATTTGGGCTTGGGTGAAGTTGTTTATATTTGGAGAGAGATATTGGGCTGAACAAAAATATCAATGTCGACATCTCTTAGATGCCCGAAACATAAAAGGTATACTGACATTATTCTATGAATTACAAATATATTTGGGGGGAAAATTTATTTCCAAATTTGGTATTGAACTATCACTACTTTAGTCAGACGTTCGATATATAATAGTGACGGATTCAAAAGTATTTTTTAAGGTAAATACATATATATTAATAACATAATTTTTTAACGAAATAGACACAAATAAAATTTTAGAATAAATGTTCACTAAAATAAATAACTGGAATTAAATTTTAAAATGGACATGCATCCATCCTCTAACATATATGGGTCCTCCACCATGCACGAAATATAATATTTGTTATATTAAAGTTATTTCTTATTAACTTTTTAAAAATTAATCTTTTAAACTTTAATCATAATTATTTTAAATATTTAAAACAAATATAATCTCGTTGGCGCACTTGTCCTCGTCCCTGCCAGCCTTTAAAATGTTTATATTCTAATTTCGGGTGAGTAAGTAATTTTTTTAAAGAGCAACAGTTTAATTTAAGGTTAAAAATATTGATTTTAGATGCAATTAAAAATATAATAAAAATCATACTATTCTAGGATGAGTATAACCTAAAATATTACATTTTTATAATATTTTTTGTTAACAACCGAAAATATTATTTTTTTAGTAAATTTTTAGGTTCCACCGAAAATTTGAGTAAAAATGTAACATTTCAGGTTACTATCAATCTAAAATGTTATAACTTTTATCACATTTCCGTTTGCTTCCTAAAATTATCATTTAGCCTTAAATTATGATGCTACCAGTGGCGGATGTTATGAAATTCGAATCTCTTCATATTAATTATCTATTTTAATGATAATATCTATCCTAAATTTTTTTTTGTTATAAAAAAATTATGTTATTAATATACTAATGTTGACTCTAAAAAACATTTTTTTATCCGCAACAGACTGACGCATAATGGAACTACCCGTGGTTAACGAGTCAAAAGAGCAGCAAACTTTGGTATAGTTGTCACCAACCTAAAGCCTATCCAAGAGAGCTCCTGAAAACGTTTTCCAGGTTAAAATGCCACCTCCCATGATTTGGCAACACATGCCTACAGTTGAAGTCAAAAGAATCAAAGAGAAACAAGCTTTCACCATTTTTATAAGATATCATGAGCAATCATTGTTAATTGTTGATTGATACTTTGATTTTAAAAGAAAAAGGGTTCAAACATTGTGAGCAGTGGTAGGCATCCGTCCACATGGGTTCCCCCCCCCCCCACAGCAACATGTCCATCTTCTTCATTTTGTGATTGACCCACTACTTTCCCTGTTTCAATGCCATGTTTCCTCTACCATGAAAACTTAATAAAAACACCTGCCTATCTATTTATCTATTTTTGGCACCAGTCTACAGTCAAAACCTGCTTTCAAGTTGTTCTTATTTCATGTGTCCTCTCAAGCCTTTCGGCATTTGATGTGTCAAGTTTTAATTAAAAAATTTGACTGTCAGGTTCAGGGCTCCTATGGAAAAGTGGTGAAGATGGTCTCAAGTTCAGGGGACAGTTTTCGCCTTTTGGTTTTTATAAAACACAACCCACTTATCATCTAATACACCCATGTATAATATGATTTTAAAATATTATTTAATCGGTTCATATTAAATTATAGACTAAGAGGCGGTTTGTTTGTCTCTTAATAGAACCATTCAGCGTTGAATACTGAATCATTCAACATTCACCGTGTTTGTTTTGCAACTCTGAATGATTCAGTACTGAATGATTCAACAAAACAATGCTGAATGATTCAGCACAGAAGTACATTCTGAATAATTCAACACAGAAGTACATTCTGAATGATTCAGAGTCATTATCAAACATGTCACATTCAGAGCTAATTCATACAGAGCCTCTGAATCATTCAACATTTGAATCATTTAGAGCTTAATCATTCTGAAGTAAACAAACAACCCCTAAATCTTACAAGTCTAAAAGTTCTTATAATAATATTCTTGTAATTTGATAATATATTTGAATTTCTTATATCTATGTATAATTTTTCTTTTATCAAGATTTTTCTATATAAATAAATGTATCTTTCTATTGTGCGACTATTTATCTTATCTTTATTTTTAACTAAACTCATAATAGGTACTTGAATTTTTATTGTCTGATTAAGTATTTAAATTTTCTTTTAAAATCAAATTTGATACCTAAATCTTTATCTAGATATCTAAAATTAAATTACTGGTTTAAATTGATAACTGGATTTTACTTTTTTTTTTGTTGAGATTAGTACTTTAAAAATGATTTATTTAAATAATTTCAACCTGAAACCAAATTTAAGTATCGATTTGAAACTAGAAGTTAAATTTATAGACTAATTGGACAAAAAAATAAATACCAAATAAATTTTAAAATCAAATTAAATATATAATTAAAAAATTAAATATCAAAATATACTTTAAAACTAAATATATATATATTTATTTTAACATCAGTTACATGTGTTTTGTAATATTTAATTAAAAATATTAAATACTAAAATAATAATGATAATAATATCAATTGATGTAGCACTGTATTGGTAATTAATAATTTTATTTTTATGAATAATCTAGAGTAATAATAATGTTTTATCATTTAACGTTGAATACCAAGGAGCAACATGCACCCGCAAAAGTAAATTAATTCACCATCTTAAAGAATTATTTTATAAAAGAAAAAAGAAAAAATTGGGTATGGCAAGAACAGATGTACCATTCATTTGGTTTCCTTCAACATAGAGTACAATCTTTCTGTATTTACATCATCTAAAATAAACCTGGGAATTTTGTTTTCTTCGTCTTTCATTTTAAACAAGAATCGCAATCTATGTATGTTCAAAAGGGTACAATTTCACTGCAACCAAAATCCTCCGAATTCCCCGTACAATCCTCTGGCCACGAATCCCGAAGCAATTTAAGCAGCATTTGAGCTTTCCTCTTTCCCCTCTCCGTACAATCACTCTGAACCAACAGCAGCAGCTGAGTCAGAATTCCCGCATTCACTGCGTCCCTCTGACACTGTTCTGACTCCGAACATAGCGCCATCAGCGCACCCGCCGCATACTCCGTCGCCCTGTCCGATATCTTTAGTATCGTTTTCACTAACAGCGGGACCGTCAGCGCGTGCGAAGCAAAAGCCGAACACCCCGACGGGATCCGGCATAACAAATCTATCGTCGCCAAAGCCTGCTCCGCCTCGCATTTATCCAACTCCGCCAATCGGTCGATCAACGTCTCCGGCGCCCCGGCTTGAACTGCTTTCTGCCGGGTTTGTCTCACTAAGCACAAAGTGAAAAGAGCCCGAATCCCGGTTTTTAACGCGCGCTGATATGAGTTAAGGTTCCTTAGTATGTCCGTCACACCTTCAAAGATTTCATCCACATTGCTTATCTGAGCTCGGAGCTCCGACGAACTCGTTCCCGAGAGAACGATTTCAATGAGCAAAGCCGAGTTGACTCGGACTTCGATAGATGAATGGAACAACATATGCGACAGGTACATCACTCTCTCTGGATCCGAGGCGATCGACTCGCAGTCGGATTCACAAAGTTGGAACATCACTAAAACCGCTAGCGCCTCCACGTTCAAATCCGACGAACCCGAACCCGTATCAGAAAACAAGATATTTATCAACATTTCCCGTACGTTAAGGGAAGAAATAACGCACCGGTTTTTCTCAGAATCTCGAGCAAGACCCTTGAGTCTACGCAGAGCAGAAAGACGAGACTGAAACGGATTCGAAGCCGACGAAGCTTGACCCAACAAGGTCCGAACCATGGTGGGGTCAGCAGGTTGTTTAGGCGTGGGAATTCTCTGGATTCCGAAAGCCTGGTTGGCGACACACCAATCTTGAATAAGTCGGCGAAGGGTATGATTGGGGATGAAGGTGAAGTCAGTGAGCGGGACACGAGTGACGGGACAAGTGGTATTACCGGTGGCGACCCAGGACTCGATGCTGGAGCGGTCGTAGGTTTGGCCGGTGCAGACTGTGACAGGGTCACGCATGAGCTCAAGTGAGATTGGGCACCTGAAATGATAAGGAACTTGTAAACCAACCAAATCTAAAGGTTCAATAGTAGTTCCAGGCATCTCCTCCAGTGAATCAGGGGTTTTTTTTTTTGTCTCTAAGATTCTCTGAGCGGTACCTGTGTGTTTTGGTTTAATATGCAAGAAAAGAAAGGAACAGGGGAAACACAGAGACAAGAAGGGAAGAGGAAGAAGGAGAATGGTGGGACTCTGTGAGAGGCCAGGACTTATCTTTCCTTATCTGACTATGGGCCACACGTGTGCCATTTCTAAGTGTAGACTACAAGGAGTGGTGGGTTTGGTCAAAGCAAATTGTACGACCTTTTTGGTTTGGGTCCCACTTCCTTTTGCCAGCCTATAAATATGATCTTTACATCCACAAATAATGTATCGTATTATACGAACCTAACGATATAGGTGGTTAAGTAATTTAGAAATGTGTAAGTGTAGTATGTGTTCATTTATTTAACATTTACAAACATATTAATTAGTGTTATGAATGTGATCGATTGCAATATTAAAATGGTAAAATTACATCATTAATGCTTAAATTTTTTAAGTTTTATAATTTAAACTCCAAAATTATCAGGTGACCAATTTAGTCGACATATTCATCATTATTTAAAATATATAAAAAATCAATATTAAATGAGTTTGTTCATGATCATAAAAGAATGAACGGAAGCGAAATGGGAGTAGCCTAAACCATGAAAGCAGGGTTGTGGAAGATAAATAAAAGTGTTGTCCTGTTACACGAAGCATTGAAGTATAGAACCCTAGATGTGATAGTCTAGTAGTCCAAAGCATCACTAGCTTACACTCTGACCGAAGTAGCATGGGGCATATGGAATCCTGTGTGAATCAGCAAGGAGCACCTTGCAAGGCTAAATACTCTTGGGTGGCCAATAACGAAGTAATACCATAAGATAAGGGTAAAAAAACCCGGTCAATGAATGAAATAGAACATGAAACCATAAGTTCCCAAGCAGTAGGAAGAACTCAGGGCTCTTATCATATGCCTGCCTGTTGAAGAATGAGCCAACTACTCATAGACAATGGTTTAGTTAAGGGAACCTACCGAAGCCATAGTAAAAGCAAGTCTTCATAGGACAATTGTCACTACTTATGGTTCAAACCTGGAACATCTTAAATAAGTTTGTTGTAAATATAAATGAACCGAACACACACATACTCATGTTCGTTCATTGACTAAATGAATATAAAATTTTTATTCATACTCGTTTATTTAACTTAAAAAATAAATATAAATAAATGTTAAATGAATAATTCACAAATATTTTATAGAATATTCTATTCATTTAACTCTTATTCATGATAACACGCGTGTATAACACAAAGTGTCACCTTTTTTAGCATAGTTTTTATGATATTTCAATATTTTTTTATAATTTAATTTTATTTAATCTTGCATTGAAAAAAAAGATTTAGGATGTGTTTGTTTGTCGTAATTTGAATTACGGAATTGATTTTCCTCGAATTCTCGTGTTTGTTTCACGTAATTTGTTTTCGGAAAAAAATTTCCGTGTTTGTTTCAAGTAATTCCTTTTCCGGAATATGTTTTCCCGTGTTTGTTTCACGTAATTGGTTTTTCAGAATGTAAATCATTTTCATAGTAACAGATTTTCCTTTGTGTTTTATATAAAATGACTTACGGATTCATTTTCCGTAAGCCATTTTCCGAACTTTTCACTTAAAAAAATAAATACTTAAAATAATTTTATTTTATGAATTTAATATTAATAAAATATTTTAATATCATTTTCATAAAATATTATTTATTTATTTATTAATATTTATAATAATATAATATAGTATTTTTAATATTATATAAAATAATCAATTATATTATAATAATATAAAATATTATATTTTTTTTAATAATATATAATAAAAAATTATATATTTAATAATGAATAATATTATTTATATATTTAAAGATATTTAAAATATACTAATTAATATTTTTAAAATAAAATATAATACTATTACTTTAATAAATAATTAATATAATTTATAATATTTTATTTCACTAAAATATACAGAATTTATTATTTTTTTTATAAAATTATAAAAATTATAAAAATAATATTTAATAATAAATAAAATATTTTAATATTTTAAAATAATAATATTAAGTTTTATGATAAATAATATCATTTATTATATTTAATATTTGTAATAAATAATTTTTAAAAAACTCTTCAACTAGTGGAAAAAGATTTAAATAAGATGTTTTTCAAAAAAAATATAATTTATTTTATAGAAAATATTTTTTGAAAAATGTTTATCAGAAATATAATTCATTTTCAAAATTCAAATTCTAGTAATTTATTTTTCAATTCCAGTAATTCATTTTTCAAAAAATCAATTACAACAAAACAAACCGATTAATCAAAATCGTTTGCAGCCGCATAAAATTTTTCATCAACCGAAAATTACGTTGAAAGCTTTGACTCCTTGAAAAAGGTAACCCACGCTTCAAAAAAAGTATTACTAAAATGAAAATAATTAAAGTTTTTTTAACAGCACCAATTGAGAATGAAACCTTTGATTTGAAGAAAAATGGAGTAAATCAAAAGGATATACTTTTCCTTGGTTGGATTAGGACACTTAACTGAATTATTTTTATATTTTTAATATAATATATATTATTCATACCATTTTTCATTAAACTAAGCTTAATTAATCTTACTTAACTGAAATATTAAATATGTTTAACATATTAACATTGTCATCGGGTACATAAATGGAAAGTTAAAATACTATAAAAGTATGATTAATATAATAAACTTGATAAATATATTTTAATAGTCTAAAGTGATTCAATCAAAAAGTAAAATCTAAGGTAGTATTTGTTTTTTAATTTTCTTAGTCATCAACACACATATTCTTTGCCGATATAATTGTTGAAATTCAAAATCTCAGAAAAAATAATATATATTTTAATTATAATATTTTAGAGTTTATCAAAGAATTTAGTGCAATCACTTGTTATAAAAACGGTGTAAAGTAATATTAATTTGTAATTATTTCTCTGCATCACCTTAAATGAAATTAGATTAAATTTTAGTAGTGAAAGAACAGTAGGGTATTTTCATTATGAGAAGGAGAGAAATAATTAGGTTTGAAATGTGTGTTGTGAATTGAATGAAGTAAAAGTTGGCAGTCAAAGATCGAAGGGGAACAGATAACCAGAGGAATGTGCGGGTCCAGGCTTGTCTCTACTTTCTCTCTTAATTAACAAAAATGGTATAAATTGTCAAATTTTAAAATTCTTAGTAGATATTATTTTACAATTATCATACACTGTTATTTTGTTTTTCTTTCCATTATTAAGATTTTATTTTGATCAATCCGATTCGATTTATGTCACATATTTAATTTTAGTGAATGAATTTCTCAATAATTTTTTTTTATATATACAAAAATTTAAACTCGATATCAACTTAAATGATATCAAACTAATTCAAACCAAGCTACGTTGATAATTATCATATACTATGAAAAATAAAAAAAATATAAATTCATAGTATCTTAATTAATAAAAAAATATTTATTTTATTACCACATTATCTTGCAAAGATTCAAAGGACGATGGTAGTCGGTGTCGTATTGATAGCAGAAGCATGCGAGTGATATGGGACACACTGTCTCTGGTCAACCTAACAATGCATTGCTTACCGCCCCGGTACAGCCTATACAATATTTGACTGCCTCGATGCACGTGCGAATCACCACGTGTTTTCCAGCTATTATATATATTCATGTTTAAGGTCGAGGCTTTGGGAATTTTAGTGTTATAACTTTAAAGTATACATGTAAATGAATTGAACGTATACAAATGGATGTATATTCATGTTCGTTTATTTAATAAATAAATGAACATAAATGAACACGAACATAAGCGAACAATTTTTTTTTGTTCATGTTCGTTTATTAAGGAATATAACTTGTTCATGTTTGTTCATTTAATAAATAAACGAACATAAACGAACACGAACATAAATGAACACGAACATAAACATTGGAGACCATACATTCCATTGTTCTTTCATGAAAAATAGTCGACAATGCAAATCAACCAAATCTACGTTATTTTAATAAATTTGCCAGCTAAAAATTTTGTGACATCAATGTCAAACTTTAGTGACGTTTGTTAATAATGGTTCTTTCCGTTGGCAGAGTATAAAATTTAAGAGCATGAAGATTTCAAATTGGACTACAAGGCAATAACATAGATCCGAAATCCCTTCGATGCTACATATCGTAACTGATATTATTGCTAAACCACCATTCAAAATTTTAACGTACCTAAAGTCTACTCCATAACTAAAGGTCACACAAGAACTATGAAAACAAAAGTTCATTGTCAAAGTGTATTTTTTACTTATTAATGGGTTCTTCCTGGAAAACTCATTACTTCCGCTATTACACTCTTTTTCAGAAATTGCATAGAAACATTTGTTTTGTTTTATAGCAAATTCTATTATATTTTTCTCTTTACTGATGCTCATATACTTCCGATTTTTACCTTTATCTTCTCATCTATTTCTAGAAAGAAGTATAATGTTTTTTTGGGTTTTAGATGTGAAGATACCCGCAATAACTTTACATATCAACTATTAAGCCAAATAAAATATAGAAAGAGATGAAAACAGACATATAAACTTCATATTGCACTATAATATAACTTGTTTTGAAAGCTTTCAGCGATCGTCTCCACTCTCCAATAAATATTAGGGTTTGGAAAAAAAGGGGGAAAATGAATATATGTGCAAGGCGCCTCACGGGTTAACATATTGGATTTAATCTCCAAATAAAATTGGGTTAATTATGGAGTTGGTCATCAAAATATCAGATTAATTAATATTTTTAAGATACTTACAAATTGGTCACCAAAATTGATTTAAGAAGATTGTGTTAAACATAAATGAATGAACATAAACGAACATAACCGAACGTTCACGAACGTAAATGAACGAACGAGACCTATGTTCATGTTCGTTCATTTAATTAAACGAACACAAAATCTTGTTTATGTTCGTTCATTTAATAAATAAACGCACATAAACGAACTTCCCGCCGCACGATTCATGAACGGTTCGCTGAACGTTCAGTTCATTTACA